CTGGTCTGCTGGAGAATAGGGGCTTTCAGTCTGAGTCATTGCAGCTGTGATTTTACAGGAACATGGGCATCTGGGCATAACAGACTTAATTAACTGGAAGTAGTGGCCTTCATTATAAATACAGGGCATCCTTTTTAAGCCTTGTTCTGCAGCTGTGGAGCTTTACCTCTCCTCTCTCTCTCACCTTCACACACGCAAGTCTTTCCGTTTGTATTTCATTTGTACCAACCCCAGTTTCTGCCTGAAACTCTGCAGCAGGCAGTACCTGGCGAGCGGGATGGCACTGAGCAGGCTCTGTCTGTGCACAGAGCAGAAGGACGGTCCCTGCCCCAGCCCCGTTTGCAATCTCAGTGTGCCGACAAACAGACAAAGCACAGGGGGACACTGGAAGCGGGTGGTGGCTTTGAGGGATGTCACCCTGAGGAAGAAGCATGACAAGGCTGACCAGAGTGTGGATGGTGGTTTCAGCATGTCCCAGAGTCTCCCTCTACTCTGCTTTATGGACCCAGCAAAAAAACCAAACCCAAAGCAGGAGAGATTGGGGCTACTGCCTTTGCCCAAAGCCCTGTAGGCGCTCGTGGCTGGAAGCAGATGTGTCCAAGCGTGCAGACATTGCATGTCCCTGCTGGCGTGGCTGGGGAGAGATGTCCCCACATCCCCCCAGGGCTGGTGTGGCCAGCACAGGCTGCTTGGCTGAGGAGATGCCTGGGCACAGCTGTCCTTGCCCTCAGCTGGCTTATTTCTGTGCCTGACCTCTGCTCTCCATGGAGAAAGTCTTCTTGCTGCTGTTGCTTCCTCTCTCCTTTTGCGTGTACCTCCTTTGTGCATTCTTTGTAAAGAAACAATAATGAAAATAAGGAAGAAAAGCTAGGTTTTCCCACCATGTGCAGAGGCAGCAATGCCGGGACCTTACTGCGTTTTACCTCAGGTAACTTTTTCTCCGTTTGTGCATAAAGGGGTAATTTTTACCACTGTAAGTACCAGTTAGAAGATGGCAAAGCCAGAAAAAAGGAGGTGTCTTATAAGACCTTCCTATAACTTCAAGGAAGAGGAATGACATGAATGAATGAGAAGGATTTATCTAATATTGTACCACAGCTGTGCCACAGCTTTTCTCTTGTCGTCTTTCTTGGTCTACGTCTGCCACTGTAGCAGAGAGGTTGTGCTGGGGATAGTATGATTCAAAATCCTCAGCTCCCCATCTGTTTCATATCAGAATCAGGAATAAAGACTCTATTAGCTTCTCCTGTGTGTTTGGACCTAACTCCATGCCTCCTCCCAGCTTCTTTCCTCACCGTATTTCCCCCACCACGCAGCTTCAGGGCTAGTTTCTGAGCATCCCCTTCCATGTTCATCCCTCTTTCGCAGCTTGCTCAAAGGGCTGGCCGTGCCTGCAGGACACCTTCACGTGGCACTGGCCAGCCCCTTGTAGATCAGACATTGATGCAAAGCTGATCCTGATGGTTTCTGAGAGAAGCGTCTCCTTTCTTCACATCGTCCAACAGCCATCTGCTACCTGCTGGAGGTCCTGGGCTTGCTGTCCCCTTGCTGCTACTGAGGCTATGGGGGAACAGAAGCATTCCCATTAGCCCCCAGCCCAAAACCCGCATCTGTCCCATGAGGATGGTGGCATGTGGATGCTGGAGTTGAACTCTTTGGGTGACAATTGAAGAGGATGAGAGCCCTGGCTGGCCCTCCAGCTGGGTAGACAAACCTTGAGGGCATTCCTGCATTTTAGTGTGCATTTTCCTGGTCACTGCGTGTTGTTCCCATCCTGATACAACACCCCATTGAGAGGGATTTCTGCCTGTGGTTTTTGTGCCTGTGCTAGAAATGAGAAGTGGTGGGGTGAGAGCTGGGAGGAAGGGAGGAGGGCACGAGGGCTGTACTGACACGTCTCACTACCGCTCGCACGCAGCAGAAAATCCTTTTCACCTGCCAGGAGCAGTCATTAGACAAGGCGACACTGGATTTTTTTTGACCCTGAAAATGAACTTTAGGAGGATTTTCCTAGTCGAGTGCTTGCTGCTTTTATTTCCCAGTGTAAAATGTGAGTTTTCCTTACTTTTTTTTTTTTTTTCCTCAGTGGGGCTTGCATTGTAAAAATTGTATTTCAAACCATTTACAACTTGGTGGGGTGTTACTGATAAGAAGCTAGATCCACTTTCCCAATGACTGAAGACCTTTGGGTTATTGCTATTATTATTAGATTTAATTTTCAGCTAGGGGGAGGGCAGGACCTGAGTTTCCTACTCCAGTTACAATAATAAGCTGTAAACAGTTTTGGTTTTCAGTTAATGAGCCTTAATTTGACACGTGTATAATAAGAAATCTCAGCATGTAGTTTTCTCTCTGCCCTCGAGGTAGCTTGTACTACACTAGAGATCCAGTTCATGGTGCATTATCACATGTAATTTTCTTTTCTTATAAAAGATGAGGAAATCTTTTGAAAGTGGAAATTATATTCTTCTATAAATATTTACAGAACAAACGATGTATCTCAGTGTCTTCAGTGGAGTTGAAGAAGTCTAAGATACGAAAACAGCAAGCAAATACATATATCTTTTATATTTTGTGTATTATGGCTCTTATTATTTTTTAAAATATTAATCTAAAAACTTAATTAAGGTGTTAACTCATAGATTGGAGAAAGGTTATAAGAGATGGATACAATAGAATCATGCATAGATATTTTTTTCCCTCTGTTCATTCCACTACAGATTTTACGTATGGCAGTTTAATGCTTTTCTTCTCCTCCAGAACAAAATTAATAGATAAATATGGAATTTATTTCTTTTATGTGATATATAAAGAATCTTCCCCAGCAGAAAGGAAGATTATTCCCTTGATTGTTTCAAACGGAAAACTTGTTTCAAAGATTTCCTTACTTCTTTAGAGTTACTATGGGAGCTTTTCCTTTTCATTCTTTCTTGTGACTGCAAGTGAGCTCTACGTTGCTGGTTCAACTCTTTCTGCCCCTTGGAGTGCATTTCAGTTTGTATTAGCAGAAAATGCGGTCTCATTAGCTAAACAAATTTTTAGTATCATATAAGTGGGATACTCAGCTTTCCACTAGTGAGACTGTGGAAATCAGATAAACATCCAGAAATGTGTCTAGGTGGTCTGTCCATAGAAATGCCACTGAATTATACTGGGAAAACTTTTTTTTTTCTTAAAGAGAAAAAAAAAAGATGTATCTGTTATGCAGAGAAATCCTATTACTAGCTCTAAATACCTATGCATGACTGAGCAGAAACAAGTACCGGAATTCAAATATTTGGTTATAATCTGCAGTGTAATCTGTGTGTGGGATAGCTGCTTCCTAGACTGTTTGGTTGATAGCTTGATTTGAGAATATTTCATTAGATGTGTCAAATACTTTGTAAGAAATGCAATAGCGAAATAACATCCTCTCCGACTGGGGGTGACTTGCCAGAAGCAATTCAGTATTACTTTTTCTTATTGCAGAGGTACGCTATTTTAGTTCTTTGATTATCTCTAGTATTGTTAGTTTCATGAAATAGCAACTGGATTTTGGTTTTGCCTCTGTGATATAGTTTGTCATTGTCCTAGATACCAGCAACGAAGGACTGTGACAAAGATATGCATAAACAGTTTTTTCTCTCTGGGGGTAAAAAGTGCTTAAAATATATAAAATTAGAGCAGAATCAGCTCTATCTGGTGATGTGAAGAGAAATCCCCTCCTGCTGATTGGCTTTATCCTGTAAATTGAAGAGGAATGAACATAAGAAAATGGCAAATGAAATAAGCTGAAGCTCTGAGTGCGCATTCGGTTATCAGTGAGCTTATCCCACCTGACACTTGTCAGCACTTTTCTACCTCCTCCTGCACATTTTCCACTTGCCGTGGGGGTGGAGACAGTACCTTACTCGAAGACAGGTTTGGTGGTGTTTTTGGCAGTGTTAGGTTGATGGCTGGACACGGTGAACTTAAAGGTCCCTTTCTTACCTAGATGCTTCTATGATTGTTTCTAAGTGACCCTCCAACAAACTTTGCACTCCGAAGTCCTGGTTCACCAGAGATGGGCCTTGCAAAGGCTGTGAAGCTGACTAGGGGGGAGAGGGCATGCCACCCGGGCACAGCCCAATGAGTACATCCCTCTCCATTAGCAGTAATGGAAGTGATGCTTAGCAGCTTTGGCTTTCCTGGGTATCAGCTTCAGCAGCCACACATCATGTGCTGCCCAGTCCTTGTAGCACCTTTAGGAAGCACCTACTCTTACCTGTTCTGGAGAGGGGACCTGCAAAGAGAAAAGATGTTTTTGGCCTTTGGTATATCTTGATATCTCCAGAGCCTGATCAGCTCACAGGATGTGGTTAGTTGTGTATTTCTCTCTGCCTTACTTGCCCAGTTATAGTCCTGTGCTAGAAAAAATCAAGTGGATATATTCCACTGGGGCAGGGTGCCAGGGTTGGGTGAGGATGGGGCACCGTAAGCTGGCAGCACTGGGTCTACCTCCAGTCCAGTGCATTACACTCACTCACTGCTTGATACAGGCCACTATTATTATTATTATTGGCATCACTTTTATTGCTGAACTGACCCCACTGTCCAGGGCCACTGCTAGGTTGTCTTCTTGCTGTCTGCAATAATGTTTGCAGTGGCGGGTGCTCTGAGTACCAGCATGTTCCACATGCAAAACACACCGAAGTGACCTTAGTTTCTGGAAGGGTTAAGTTTGTGGGCAGCCATGAATCCTGCATCCAAAATCACTCAAAATAAGTCAGCCAGAATGTAAAGCCAGATTTAGAAAGCCAGACTCTTATCTTCCTCATTTCTCAAAATGAAATTGGGTGCTGATATTTATCTAATGAACAATCAAGAGGTGTTTTGGAGCAGGGGAGGAAGACAGCATTAGTAACTCAGAGAGGCCTAGGTAACTCGGAGGTGGGTGACAACCTTCTGGGTGACTGCTGTGGCTGCTGAGCGGGGCAGTGTGGGATGCTGGAGACATGCTGACATTGTGCTTCCCTTTACAGGCTCCATCACCAACTGGATTTACATGGCTGTGAATGAGACTCTTCTTCTCAGCATCACTGCTGGTGGGAGTCTATATGAGGTAATATGGCAGAAAAACGGTACGAAGTTGCTTCAGATAAAAGGCAATGACGTTAGGTACTATGCGAAAAAGACGGAGTGCAGGTGTAAGATATTCCCAAATGGGACTCTGCAAATACAGCAGGTGGTGAGAGAGGACAGTGGAAACTACACGGTGACTGTTTATCGTAAGGATGGAAAATGGGAGGCAGAAGAACATACAAGGTTCATCGTTCAGGGTGAGTTTTTGCTCTTCCCATACTGTTTTGTCACAATTTAATGCCAGCAGGGAGCTAGGACCATGCAGCCGCTCACACACTTACCCCCTAGTGAGATGGAGGAGAGAATCAGAAGAGTAAAAGTGAGGAAAAACTCATGGGATGAGATAAAGATAGTTTAATAGAGTTCATCTGCTGTTTCCCATTGGCAGGCAGGTGTTCAGCCATCTCCAGGTTACATCACACATAAAGGTTACTTGGGAAGCCAAACACCATAATGTCTCCCCCCTTCCTCCTCCTTCCCCCAGATTTATATACCGAGCATGACATCATATTGCATGGAATATCCCTTTGGTCAGTGGGGTGAGCTGTCCTGGCTGTGCGGCTGTGCCTCCTCCCAACTTTTTCTGCACTCCCATCCCACCTTCTGGTGGGGCGGTGTGAGGAGCAGAAGAGGCCTTGGCTGCCTAGGAACAACCAAACACACTAGTGCACTATCAACTATTCCCATCCCAAATCCAAAACACAGCACTATACCAGTAAAAAAGCTAACTGTACCCCAACTGGAACCACGACACATTCCCAGTTTAGCTGAATAAGACTTGGTATTCCTGCTCTCTCCTACAGTCTTTCCTACTCATTGCACCCCTGTTTGTTTTGGGAGGGCATTAGTGAGACTTTCTCTCCCGCAGTCTGCTGCTCTTCTTCCTTCTCTCACTCCTGTTGATGCCCTCTGGTCCCCTGCTTCTTTCTGGCTCCCCTCTCTGCCAGCCACCAGGTTTCTGTGTGTGCCCAAGTGAGCAGCTGTGAGCACATCGGTGTTGGCAGAAGGATGAGTGCAGGCAGCCCTCTTGGTCCCTGAGCTGGCGCAGCACCATTGTGAGTGGGGCTGTGCTCCTGGCAGCACTCCACTTCCAGAAACCTCATGCAGCAGCCTGTGTGAGGTATGCCTGTGGGTGATATGCTGTCTGGCACTTCTGGTGCTATTTTACGGGCAGCGAGTTATGACTTTTGGTTTCTAGCTACTGCTCCAGCCAGGTGAGCACCTTGCATGGCATCTGCCAGCCTCTGGAGGAGAGCTCAGGAACCCAGGTGGCACTAAATGCCCGTATTTAGGCAATGCGATCCCACTCAATTTTTTTGCTCTAACATGAAAAATAGCCAGGAGTCACCTTCCCAGGAGTCACCAAGGGTAGGTCCCTACGCACCCTATCCTTGCATAGCATAACACAACAAATATGAAGATTGTGCTGTGCAAAACACACTTAAGCAGATACCTGGGGATTTCAGCTGCATGGGTTTGAAGCACGAAGGCAGCCTCCACTCCTGTGCTGTATCTTATCCTGAGAGATCAGAGCGGTAGCAGCCCAAAGCTTTTGGGATGAGTAGGGAAGATGGGGATGGCTATTCTGCTCCTTTATGGCTGCTGCCGCTTCTCCAGACCTCCAAGCTATAGGGCAACATGGTTTTTTTTCCCAGCAAGGGGATGATTTTGCTCTGTCCTTCAGCCAGCACGCACATCTCTGCCAACCTCTTGAGTCTGTAGGCACCAGCTGGCAGCGCAGAAATGATGCCTTGATGAGACAGCAATGACAGCTGGAATGGTTTTAGCAGGGTTTCTCTGCAGTGGGAGGCCCTGTGGCTAACGGACTGCTGAGCAATGAGGGTGTCTTGCTACTTCGGGAACTATTGCAAACTCTACAGATGCAGGAAGTCATCAGGGCCTGATGCTGTTTACTCATGCTTTAAGCCTCTGAGCTGTCATTGGGCTGTCCTGGGTTCAATTTCAGGTTAAGGTTCCAACCAAGCTGTGCGCTGCATCGTTTCATCTCCTGCATAGCAGAGAGGTTGCCTTACCTCTGACAGGTGGTTTTGCAAGTAAAGTCCTTTAGTAACTGTCAGGTGCTAGAGTCATTTGTCAGCCAGATTGTACTTCGTTACTAGGGTTGGAAAAACAAACAGTTTTTAAAAAAAAAAAAAAAAAAAGTTTAAACGATATCATCATGTCACTCCATCACTGGGACCTGGACTCTAGTCTAGTTTCACACTAAGATGTTCTCCTGAATAATAGGTTAGGGCTTGCAGAGAAGGAATGGGCTTAACATCTGGGTGGCTGCAGATGTCACAGCATGAACCTAGACTGCATTTGCTATGAGCAAATTTGCTTATTGGCATTAAAGTTTATGATCTCTATAACTTACACTGCCTGCAACTAGAGGTGGTCCTGGCATGTTTTTGTTTACCTGGTCTAAAAGGTAGAAATTAATTTTTTTCCCTTGGATGTCCCTGCCAGTTGCCCCTAGTTGAGGAAAGCCCTGCAGGCTTTTTCTGGCTCTTTCGGTGCCATCAGTGACAGAGAATCTGGAACCAAAATGTAACTGCTGTTTGCAGGACATAAAAAGAAACAGAAATCAGTTCTCTCTGTCATAACCTCATTGAGAGCCAAGAGGTGCCCGTTTTGTGTTTTTCATTCTGTTTTGATGCTGTGGCTGTCATGCTAGCTGAGTGCCATTGGTAGTACCTGAATCATCACATAAAGCATCCTAAGTAGCTGTTTATCCCGCCGTAGAGGAAATCTCTCCTGATGGGCATGGGCAGATCAGAGCTGACTTCATTTGCACCAAAACACTGGGGCCAGAGTTGGAGGGGGCTGTGGCTCTGAGTCCCTCCCATCTGCCGCTTCCCCCAAAAACACACTTCCTCCCCTCGCCTGCCTGCCTGGCTGCCAGCCAGGCTGAGCCTGAAAGTAGTCTGGCCATGGGGGTCAGCTCTGCTTTGCTAGGCTAAATATGCTCCATTTTCTTTATTATTGCCATGTCACTTCTGCAGTAGAGGTCTAATTTGCTCTTCATTCTTCTTTCATCTCATTAACTGGTTTTACTCCCTTACTGCTTATTGGGGGTTAATTCTCTGTTCTGCTTAATAATGGAGGTTTTCAAAAGAAGAAACCAGATCAGACGTGCCTGTCCCTTCTCTTCTTTTTTCAGAGCCTGTCCCTCAGCCAATCCTCAGTTTTGAATGCAGGAATAAAAATGTATCTGCCAAGTGTGAAGTGAAGCAGAAGACTAAAGACGATCTATTTACAATAGAACTGATTCAAGATAAAATTAAAAAAATCCAAAATAATACAACAAAGTTGGACATGCACGTGCGGAAAGCTGGAACGGTCAGATGCATCGCTAAGAACCGAGTCAGTGAAAAAATGGCTGAAAAAGCAGTTAAGTGCTCAGGTAAAAAAAACTATTTTTGCCAGAATCTGCTAGGGTGGACCCATGATGCCTGACACAGTGGCATGTATCTGTAGGACTGGCCCAGGTGCCAGGAGCACCGTTTGTTTCTGGTACCCAGTATTGTGAGCCTACCCCTGCTGCAGTTATTGGGAGCCGATGCTGCTGTGGTAGCCAGGATGTGAGTCACGCTTTCTGCTTGGCATTGCCCAGCCCTGTGTCTCCACCCTCCCCACCCTGCTGCTGCGTGCCCCCACTGCTACCCTTGTGGCATCTCTGCTCTAACAGCAGGGAGGAAAAGCGTGAGGCAGTGGGGTGTGAGGTGGGCCATGCTCCTCCTCTCTTCCTGCAACCAGAGGTGGTTTTTGCTCAGTGGGTCCTAAGGGTCTCTGGAAGAGGAGGAGAGGTTTTTCTGCAGTCAAGAGCCTTGTGGGTGGCAGGGAGATGCCTAGGGTGCAATGAGATGCTGCTTCCCCTGGGGGTGAAGTCTTCTGGGGAAAACTGCAGGCTGCCAGCAAGATCAGCCTGGCTGAGGGGTTAATTAATGAGACAGATATTCTTGCTCATTTTCTCCCTTCCCTCCACCGTTGCTGACTCTTCTTCCAAAAATTGCCAAAGGTATCCTGGCAGACTTTTTGGTGTCAACATCCTGATAGACTCAAGTGGTGTCAACTATTGTTAGTGGCAGACCAATGAAGTAAAGGAGAAAGTAAGGAGGTTGACCTGAAAGTGTTTTAATCAAACACAGTGGTCTACAAAAGGCGGAAAGCACTTTCTCCCTTATTTTTATTCTCCTTTATTCTTTTAAAACTGATGGAACTTCCCAAAGGTTGATTTCAGTAGACCAGCCAAAAGCCAGAGTTGACTTCAGTAAGACAGTATAAAACTACTCAAGCTACCATGACATAAATTAACAGCTTATTTTTTTGAAAATATGACTTGGGATATTATCCTATGTATATGAAGCCATGGTATGAATTTCAGGGGATTTGCTCTTGATTTAAATATTTAAATCCTTATGGTGGGGAGATCAGTTGCACATTATTTTTCTTCTCTCCATGATCATGCCTATGAAGGTGGTGGGTGCCTGCTACCTGTGGCTGTGGACAACTGCTCTTACAAGGGGAAATATAAGCTGCCTGTACTCTCCAGCTTAGTCTAGAAATCAGGAGGGACGTTATTGAGAATTTAGCTGTGCTTTGGGGTTGCATGGCTCAGATGAGCATGGCTCAAATATACCATGGATTTTCTTACTCACTTGAAGCATCATCTTTCTAAATCACAGATGCAGCAGGAGAGCTGAAGGAATTGCATTTTGAATAGGCAGAGTTATGCTGTAAATTATTAGATAGGCAAAAGAAGTCATCACTCCTCCCCTGTACAAGTTTTGAAAGTTAAGGCAAAAACAAGGGACAGATCATATTGGTATGACACTGGATGTGGTGTTCAGTTCAAAGTTCAGTTTTCTAGTGTGGTACTGGGGAAAAGTCTTTGAATTTTCTGGGCTTAGGTTCATCCCACCTAACTGCAAATACTTCACTTAAAGCACTTTCTTGTTCTAGATTCCCACTAGAGCTAGTGGAGACTGTGGGGCTCACAAGAGCTGGCTCAGCATTTCCGATTTCCAGGTATTTCTGCCATAGCGAATTTAGGGAAAATCCAAGTCTGAAGGTCAGCCCATGGTGTGAGAAGGGAGGGAGCAAGCCTTAAGGTATAGAAGCCTTACTGAAGCGATCCAAGGTCTGAGAGGCTGACTGAAGGCCAAGTTGCTGAGGGATGGGGTGGCCTCTGCTCTCCTGTGCAGCCCTTTCCTCCTGAAAGATCCCCCTGATGCCTAAAATAGCCAAAAAAGGGTTGTTTTCTGCTGCATGAGCTGCCTAACCCAAAGGGCTGCACAGTCCTGTTGGTGCTAGCATTGGGAAGGGGCTGTTGTGTGGGGGAGTGGGATGTGGCATGGACTTTGAAGCCAGGTATGAAAACATGCTGCTGGATTAGGTTCGTTTAAGGCAGGGCAAACTAGTCCAAACACGTTGTCTTAATGAGGAAATGCTGGCTGAAGCTGGCCATCCCAGGGCTCAAGCCAGGCAAGCAAGGGCTAACGCCAGGCAGACATTAGCCATCAGCTAGATACTTTACTTTCACTTCTTCTCACCCTTGAGAAATGCTCTTCTTTCACAGGGTGAGTTGGGTGAGAGTTTGTTTTTTCTCAAATCATTAACAGAGAAATAAAAGACTTGCCACACTTATCTTTAAGGTACAAATGTAGCATTTCTGAGACAGCCAAAAACCCACTAAAACCATGTAGCACTATCCTTCCTACTCAAACTAAAAACTCCTCAAACTTTTCTATGTGGTGGCAGGACTCTGTCAGCTCCATAGCAGATTGAAAATCTCTCAGCTTGCGGTCCAACTTTCTTCCAGCCCTGCTGCCTTCCATGAACATCTGGTCCTGCGTTTGAGGCCTATCACTGTGAATTTTGACCTTTAGCAGGCAAGGCATGCTTCCAGTGGGTTTCAGCTCAGCTAACTTTTCACAGAAGTGTGACTAAGTGTGAATCTACCTGGGCTCATCTTACTTTCATCTGGGAGAAACAGGCATGGAAAGGGCAAAATATACCTCAGTATAACACTGGCAGCTAAAACGGGTGAGAAGAACCGTATCGCTCGTCTTTTTTTCCCACTGTGACGGCCCAGGTTGATGGTGGCCTTTAGACTGTAGACATCTCAGCTTTGATGTCATCACTCTTTGCCCACCATGTGCATGATCAGTGAATGTTAAGGGCGGTACCAGTGGTGTTGTTCCCTTTGGAGCTTTGTTTCCCAAGAAGCCAAGGAAGGTGCACTTCTGCTGGGTTTAGCTCCATGGATGAGGCTGTGCTTGAGCATGAACACTGAACGCCAGGAAGACACGCCAAGAAGGAGGTGGCAATGGAAGGCCAGCATCCAACAGACCTTATCTGGCAAAAATAAGGAACTGTCATATAAGTTTTTGCTTGCCCGGCAAATGGAACTCTCATTTTGAGACTGTGGACTATTTGGTTATATTCTTTTCCTTTTCACTATTTTTGCATACAACCAAAAATTGAAGAGGAAGTACCAAAATACTATGAAGCAAGTTAGTTTCAGTGTTTCCAGCTCAGTAGGAAGTACTTTAAAAGTTTATTTTTGTTAGATGTAGAGCACTGCCTGGATGGTCCTAGTCCTTAAAAGGGTCCATTGCTAGCAGGAACAGGGCATTTGTGGTAATTTAAATAAGATGAGCTGGTACACATGAATGCTCTGATTTTAATTTTCTGCAGAACTTGAATCCATTAGGTAGAAATCAAAATTGCTGGGGGAGGGGAACCTCAATCCATCCCACTCCTACCACCAGTATGGTGCCAAATACCAGTAATAGATGCCCAGAACCTGAAGAATGGTCACAGGTCAATGAAAGAGCACCTGGAGTGCAGCACAAAGGAATTCCAGACACTCCACCCAGTAAGTCAACTTCATCGGGTACCCAACTTAAATGCTTCTATGCAAACACATGTAGAATAGGCAATAAACAAGAGGAGATAGCACACCTGCAGGGCTATGATCCTATTGGTATCACAGAGATGTGGTGGGATGGATCCTGTGACAGGAGTGTTGGAATGGAAGAATACAGGCTCTTCAGGAAGGAGAAGCAGGGGAGATGAGGAGGGGGTGCGTGGGTCTCCACCTAGGGATGGATGAGGAGCCAACCAAGAGCTTATGGGTCAAGATCAAAGGAAGGGCAAGGACAGGTGATGTTACAGTGTGGGTCTGCTACACACCACCCCGCCAGGAAGACTGAGTGGAGAAGGCCCTCTCTGGACAGATAGCAGCAACCTCACGTTCACAAGCCCTAGTCCTCATGGTGGACTTCAACCACCCCGATATCTGTTGGAGGGACCACACAGCAGGGCATGAGCAATCCAGCAGATTCCGGGAAGGCATCAATGATAACTTCCTTCTCCAAATGATAGAAGAGCCACCAAGGAGAGATGCCATGCTGGACCTTGTTCTCACAAACAAGGAGAGGCTGGTGGGAAATGTGAAGCTCAAGTTAGTGTTGGAATGGAAGAATACAGGCTCTTCAGGAAGGAGAAGCAGGGGAGATGAGGAGGGGGTGCGTGGGTCTCCACCTAGGGATGGATGAGGAGCCAACCAAGAGCTTATGGGTCAAGATCAAAGGAAGGGCAAGGACAGGTGATGTTACAGTGTGGGTCTGCTACACACCACCCCGCCAGGAAGACTGAGTGGAGAAGGCCCTCTCTGGACAGATAGCAGCAACCTCACGTTCACAAGCCCTAGTCCTCATGGTGGACTTCAACCACCCCGATATCTGTTGGAGGGACCACACAGCAGGGCATGAGCAATCCAGGAGCTTCCTGGAAGGCATCAATGATAACTTCCTTCTCCAAATGATAGAAGAGCCACCAAGGAGAGATGCCATGCTGGACCTTGTTCTCACAAACAAGGAGAGGCTGGTGGGAAATGTGAAGCTCAAGTTCAGCCTTAGCTGCAGTGACCATGAGATGGTGGAATTCAAGATCCTTAGTGGTGACCGGAGGGCGCACAGCGAGCTCACTACCCTGGACTTCAAGAGAGCAGACTTGGGCCTCTTCGGGGATCTGCTTGACAGAGTCCCTTGGGACAAAGCCCTGAAGGGAAGAGGGGCCCAAGAAAGCTGGCTAATATCCAAGGTTCACTTCCACCAAGCTTAGGAGCAATGCATCCCAATAAAAAGGAAGTCAGGCAAGAACACCAGGAGGCCTTGCATGGATGTACAAGGAGCTCCTGGACAAACCCAAACAGAAAAAGGAAGCCTACAGAGGCTGGAAGCAAGGACAGCTAGCCTGGGAGAAATTATCGGAGAAGCCAGAGATCAGATTAGGAAATTGAAAGCCCAGATAGATTTAAATCTGGCTAGGGACATCAAGATCAACAAGAAAAGCTTCTATAGGCATGTCAGTGACAGAAAGAAGACTAGGGAAAATGTGGGTCTTCTCAAGAAGGAAATGGGAGACCTGGTAACCTGGGATATGGACAGGGCTGAGGACTCAATGACTTTTGTGCCTCAGTCTTCACCAGCAAGTCCTCTAGCCATACCACCCAAGTCACAGAAGGCAAGGGGAGGGCCTGGCAGGATAAGGAACTGCCCACTGTAGGAGAAGACCAGCTTCAAGACCATCTAAGGCATCTGAAGGTGCACAAATCCTTGAGACCCAATGAGATACACCTGTGAGTCCTGAGGGAACTGGTGGATGAAGTTGCTAAGCCACTATCCATCATATTTGAAAAGTGGTGGCTGTCCGGTGAAGTTCCCGCTGACTGGAAAAAGGGAAACATAAGTTCCGTTTTTAAAAAGGGAAAAAAGGAAGACTTGGGGAGCTACAGACCAGTCAGTGTCACTTCTGTGCCTGTCAAGATCATGGATCAGATTCTTCTTGAAACTATGATATAAGGCACGTGGAAAATAAGGAGGTGATTGGTGACAGCCAACATGACTTCACTAAGGGCCAAACGTGCTTGACACATTTGATAGCATTGTATGATGGTGCTACAGTGTTGGTGGATAAGGAAAGAGCAATTGATGTCATGTACCTGGACTTGTGCAAAACACTTAACAATTTCCTACATGACATCCTTGTCTCTAAATTGGAGAGACATAGATTTGAAGGATGGACCTCTTGATGAATAAGGAATTGGCTGGATGACTGCACTCAAAGAGTTGCAGTCAATGGCTTGATGTCCAAGTGGTGACCTGTTCTGGGGCCTCCAACATAAGAAGGACGTGGACATGTTGGTGTGAGTCCAGAGGAAGACCACGAAAATGATCAGAGGGTTGGAGCTCCTCTTCTATGAAGACAGGCTGAGAGAGTTGGGGTTGATCAGTCTGGAGAAGTGAAGGCTCCAAGGAGACCTTATAGCTGCCTTCCAGTACCTAAAGGGGGCCTACAGGAAAGATGGGAGGGACTCTTCATCAGGTAGTGTAGTGATAGGATGAGATGTAATGTTTTGACTGAAAGATTTTGATGAGATATTAGGAAAGAATTCTTTACTGTCAGGATGGTGAGACACTGAAACAGGTTGCCTGCAGAGGCTGTGGATGCCCCATCCCTGGAGGTGTTGAAGGCGAGGTTCGATGGGGCTTTGAGTAACCTGGTCTAGTGGGAGGTGTCCCTGCTCATGGCAGTGAGGGTGGAACTAGATGATCTTTAAGGTCCCTTCCACCCAAACCATTCTGTGACTCTATGATTCCATGAAAATTCTCCACAATGAGGACCAGCAACTTTCTGCTGCGTACAGAGAAAAGGCAGAGTGGGCTGTCTCACTGGGGCTGCATTTACAGTCAATGGAAGAAAATACAGAATTCTTGGTAGACATTAAGCAAGTTATTTCTTTCCCGCTAACATTCTCTTTCATTCCCTTAACTAGGCCAGCTGGACCTTTATCTCATCTTAAGCATTGCAGGAGGTGCAATCTTTTTTGTCATCTTCGTGATTTTGCTTATTTATTGTATCAGGAAGAAGAAAGCAGAAAGGCGTGCAGATGATGGTAAGTGTTTAAGGGGTATTATGTTGCAATCCAGCCACCTAATCCTGCTGAGAGCAGTCCTGTGGGCAGGAGCATGCTCTCTGCATTGGCATGAGTAATACCCTGGTTTTGGCACATGCTGAGTCTCAGGAGATCGGCTGGCAGTGCCGACCTCAGTTTCTGATATATGCCTTGAACAAAAGACTTCTTGTTCTCAAGCCCTTTTGTTTATTCTTGAAGAAGAATTGCTCCTCTAGAGCTCGACCAAGGCCACTAGTCGTGAGCATCTGTGAGGCTAAAATATACCATCAGATATCCCACTAGCAGATTTTTTTTCCATTAAATTTATATAGCATAAAATCAGGATCTTTAAAATCATTAGGCACGTTTTAAAACATTGTAGGCAGTGAGAAGGGGCTAGAAGGGCTCACCTTTTTTGTAAGTTTCCTCAGGCATCTCACAAAAATTGTCCTCTCTTCAAAACAATGCCCTTCAAGGCCTATCAACACCGGAGGTCCAACCTGGGGCACTTTAAAGACCTGAGGTTTTCAGACCGGGCAGAGATTTCATCTGTTGCCCAAAATTCATGCCTCTTTAGGACCATAGGAAATACTCTGCCAGAGTCTTCTCTGAGAGCGGGCTCTCAGTCTTGACAGAGAGGTTGCCTTGAATTACATCCTGGACATTGCTGCTAGTTTGGGTGGATAGAGGGTATGGAGCTGCCACTCCAGGAAGAGTTGTCTGGTCCACCTGGAAGGAGAGGCTAAAGCCTGGCAGGGCTTGTTTAAAGGCTTGTTACCGAGTCCTGCCCCCACACACTGTGTCAGGCTTCCTGTGTGGTCTCAAAAAACATTGAGTCTCTGTGTGAGTCAGTTCTCGAGCTACAAAATGGGAGTAAAAGCTCCTTTGTACACAACAGTCTTTGTCAGAATAAAAAGGACAATGCCTGAAGGTAACATCAGCTGATACCTCAAAGGTGCCGGTGGTCAGGCTAACAACAAGGGTGAGTATGACCCCTCCCATAGCCGAGGGGAGCACAACCTCATCGCACCTGAGTGTGGGTAACTCACCAGGACCCTCCTGCTTCTCCTGAAGTTATGACTGTCAAGCTTTCCTCGTTTGCTCGGAGAGCTCACCACGGTGTAACCACAGGATGTCATCTTAGAAGGCTTGCCATAGCTTGTGAGCACAATGCAAGTGTGAGCATAGCCATCTGAGTGTTATTTTACATTATGGTTGTTCCTGCTTGAGTGGGGTACGTTACTCCCTCAACTGTACGGTGATAGTATATCTCAATTTTTGAGTCTGGATTAAGCAAGAATTAAGAAAAAGAGAAATCTGGGAAAATGAGATCTAATATAAGAGAGTGCCTAGCCTCTTGTAAACAGTTTGGTGGGGGCTCTGTTTGGGTGTCCCAAGAGGTAAATCCCTCAATCCCTAAACTAAACTGACTGACATTTCAAAAATGATAAGTTAATGATCAAAAGTCAGCAGGCATGAACTTACTTCTTCTACATGTGGGGAAATTAATGCTGGTGAAATGTACCTCTGGCTTCCAGATGCCTCGAGATCCCAGCATGGATAGTGGCAGGGCAGAGAGCTCTGATGTTGCTTCCTGGGCTTACATCTCGCTTTCCCTTCCGTGGCCAAAAGAGCAGCTCAGGCTTGGGGTGTCCACCAGTGACTGCTGGGGCCCCCCCAGCAAAGTCAGTTCCCCCAGCACAGAGAGGGCAGAGGCGTCCCAAACACCCGCAGGTACCTTGACCTCAGCCAGGCAGTCAAAATCTTTTGGGTTTGCCCGGGATGCGCACGCAGAGGTGATTTTGGTTGTTCACTGAAGTAGCAGGAACACCTGAGAGTGACAGTGGCCTTCCAGGTAAGAGCAATATTTGGCTTTTTCTTGCTTGGGCCAAGTGCTTTTCCCTGGCTGTTCCACTTCTGCTTCGTATGTACCTGATTGTGGGGTCCTTCTGTCGTTGCAGAAGAGGAGCGAATGATACGGGCTCGCCAGCTGGACAGTGAAATGGTGGTGCGGGAGCTCCCTCAGACGCCGTGCAATCCCACCCCGAAGCAGCTGCGAGTGCAGCAGCGGCCGCTGCCGCAGCCCCAGGTCCAGCAGCAACCACTGCCCCCGCGGCCCAGGCCCCGCACTCAGCAGCGGACTCCAAACCACCCCAAAGAAAGACCTTGAACATCTGCCCTGGGAGGGACGGTGGTCTCTCTGCTCCACCTCTCACTGGGGAAAAGAAAGTTTCCTATAGCCAGGAGCCCCTCCTGCCCAGCCTCGCCTAATGCTTAACTATGAAACGGCAGCTTTCATTGCAGGAAATTAGAGAGAGCATCAAATGGAGATGAAGAGATCCAGCAGAGGAGATTCAAGGTGATGGGCATTCATCCCTGTGGCCATTTTTCTTCAGGTGTCTCTGTATTAAGGTATGGAGCATTGAGCCTTGAAACCTGTGTCTTTCTGCGGTTCACTTGTTTTTACCAGACCTTGTCTTCGTGGTTTTGGGATGGATTATATCAAGAAGAAGCGAAAGTTCTAGTGAAACAACACGGGCCTAAGGATCTTCCAGGGTTTTGTCACATATCTTTCCTTTCTCCTGCTACACATTTGGACATCCCTCTGGCTTCAGTATCAAATGCATAACCTCCTGGATCAAAAAAGAGTTGTATGTAATTAAATACTTGTCTGAAGTTGAAAGTATCGGTGTCATCTAATGGAGAGAAGAAAATAACTGAAGGGAGATGTGAGAGCCTTGAAGCATCTGTGTGGGAAAATGCAAGTGGGAAAGGAGTAAACTTTTCACTTTCTTGAACACATTTAGAACAAGACCCATGGGTTTAAATTAAAGCAAGGGAGAGTTCAGATTTTTTTTTTTTTTTTTTTTTTTGGCAAGCAAAGCACTGAAATAGATTTCTGGGAGAGGATCTCCAGCACTGGGGGTTTCAAAGGCCAGATGAGGCAACCATCTGTGAGACATCCTCGTTCTGCTGAGGGGCAGGGAAACATTCTACGTGGCCTCTCCAAGGACTGTTTCAGCTCAGTTTTCCACAACTCCTTGCTGGCAAATAGAATGAAACTTTATTCTCAGCATAGGTCTGTTTGGCTCTCCAGACAATTCTTTTGTCATAGAAGAGGTCTGGTATCCACTGACTCATGAAACAAGTGTTACAAACTGCCAAGCAGCCTGATTTCTAGTGGCATTGTCTGAATTGTCGTGGCTGTCTATCATAGGGCCTCCTGCTGATGGTGAGGGACTGTGTCCCTTGACTTTGCTGGTAAGCACCTGATGGATAACCAGGCGATGACAGAGAACTGCTCAGGGATCTCCTTCCCAAAGGGAGAGGTTGGACTACAATAACTGCATCTGCATCACCCTCCACATGCTGGTCAAACACTGGTCACTCCTCTGGTCCTTGGAGATGTTTATAACCCCCTCTATGGGACAATCGAGGAGCTGAGAGAGGACGGGCCTTTTTAGAGCAATGCCAAAATGGGAACACGGGGCCATCTGGTGTAAGAGGCAGCGGAGGTGGAGGAGGAGAGAGCTGTGAGAGCCACAGATCATGAGACATCCAGCTAGCATGTTGTTGCATTAGGCAGAAGAATGTGTATTACCTCCTTGTTCAGGTTTGACTATCCTACACATGCCAGGGGAGATAAACCAGCCATCCTTTGGTTCTCCTTAGAAATGTGGCTATTTTTATCTTCTCCTACAAGGGCAGGGAAGTAGCTTGTCAGGAAGAAGGAGGTCTCTGCCTCCTCCAGAGCTCAGTCGCTTTGCTTGAACTCTGATGGTAGACACAGCCCCAGGAGTGTCACTCGCTCTCACCCTTGCTTTCTGCAGCTTGTTTTAGGGCTTTTGCTATTTAAAGTTACATTTGGTAAACGTTTCATTGTTTATTTTGTAACATATGCTATATCCCTGTAGTGAATGAATAAATGTAAGAGTGGGTGGAGAAGACCTGACTTCACACCTGTGCTGGTGCTTCAGTATCTGGATCTCTGGTACAAAGGAGGCAAGAAAAATATTTTGGTCCCTGAGCCACAGAACTTTGGATGCAGGAGGTTTCACACCGAACCCTGGGAGGTACCGGCTGCCACCCGAGTGCTGGTGGGCTCAGGTTGGTGTGGGTGAGCACAGCCACCGTGCCCACCTGCCCACTGTGGCAGCATACTCTGCCTGTCCTGCCTGGCCAGAGCTTTGTTGATGCCCTCTCCAGAGCAAGCAGCCAAGCTGGGACTCCTCTGTTGTTATGGGAGCACTGGTCCTTCCTGGGGAGAGAGTGAGGGTTACTGGGACCTGAGAAGGAGGGTGGACTCCTCCTGGGACACCCCCCCACTACTGATCAGCACTCTCTGTGCCCTGGGGATTAATAGAGCTGCAGGAATGCTTTGGAGATGCTTCATCCCCACAGCTGAGGCTGGGGGAGCTTCTTGTAGTGCCTCTGAGAGACTCTCCCAGGCTCCCTACCAGCTGTTGCCCTGGCCTTCCTCTGCCTGGGGCTGGTGCAGGTGGGGTGACACTTCCCACAGCTCCTTGTAGAGGAACACCGGTACGTGCACGAGGTGGTGCCAGGGTGACTCTGGCCCAGCAGCGAGGTGTGCTTGCTCTTCTGGCAAGGAACTGCAGCACAAAGCTACATCATGCCTAGGATAGGAACAGGAGACAAGAAGCTTTTCTACTGTTGGTCACAAACTGGGTCCAAACCTGCCATCAAGACTGGGCTCGAGACTACCCTGTGAACCATGGGAACCTTTGCTGAGTCAGCTTAAGGCACATGAGAGCTGAGCACACCCAAAAGCTGCCCTTGGATCCCCTTCCTGGGGAACGGGGCCACCAGCCTGAGTACAGGGCAGGCCAGAGGCCACAGCAGTGGGCATGAGTGAAGGATGGAAGCGTGTGTTTTAATACTGCCCTCCACCTGGCTGCTGTAAGCACGAGCTGAGAGAAGCACTCTCAGCCTCCACCAACTCACTTAGGTCTGCTCTGGGTTATTAGACTCTTTTCAGCTAAATGTTTCTCTCGTGTGCCAAGAGGCTGAAAGCTAAGTGAAAAGAGCTGATCTTAGCCCTGTTGGGCAGATTAACACCAAAATACAGTCCTCCATCAGGCAAATAAGAAAATACTACGAGCACAGGAAGCACAAAAATACACCCCCAGTGCAATGGGAGTCAGAGCAATACTTATTTTTAATTGACGTCTTTTTTTTTTACAGTCACCATTGCTTGTGAGAAGTCTTGTGTTTGTTCCTGATGTGCTGCAACAGATGATACTTGTACAGTCCTGAGTTCTACTTGGTGCCAACTTGAGAAATCAGCAATTTTTCTGAATGTGTGTCATGGAGTATTCAAATCTTGGGTTTTTATGCTGTAGAGGATGTTTCAGTTCTGGAAAATGAGCTGGTAGTGAGACCTGAGAAATAACAGTAAGTGGTTGGTTCTTCTTTCGTAGACACATCTACCAGTGAGTCACACAAGATAAAGTGTTTTACCCCATTCTTCTTAAGGGGGTTGAGACGAGAAGGCTGACGTGCTCTGGGCCATGCTCTGTAAGGACACTGCCTTATCCTCCCCAGTTGGAGAGATGCAGTTTATGCTGCCCACGTGTTAGCAGGGATCATTTTTTCTTGGTGAGGTACTGCAGAGCCATTGCTGATGGAATGGGAGGAACATGTAGTCTTGTGATCAACGCAGGTCTGTAGCGGTGCTGCGGTCCTGCAGCGCTCGCTGGTTCTGCAGTATGAGTAGGCACCCAAAAGAGCAATGGTTGGTTGTATAGAAGATGCAAATCTTCTGTCCCGGTCTTAATCTGCGTCACGTCAGCAGTGCTTGCTGCCTAGACTTGGCCTGTCTAGTAAAGTAGACAAGACCTGCTTGTGTCTCAGCCGGGTGCGTATTAGCCAGTCCAAAGGGAGCCTCTCTTGCTTCTGACACAGGCATTGCTGGAGCCAGCTAGACAATTTCATTTCTAAAATAAAACTCGGAGCCTGTGAAAGGTCAAGTAGGAAACCATGGGCACTTCAAATAACTTTCTTAGGACACTTGCCAAAATAATGCTGTGGGGAAAAGACACCTATTTTATCCTTACTCTGCAACAAATTTTCAGGCTCTCACGTGGAGATAAACCCCAGTCGGGACTGTGTTGCCCACCAGCTCACTTCTCTGTTGTGACAGACAAAATCTCCTCAACCATGCTGAAGCCTTGCAAAAGGCTTAAGAAATGTTGGGTTTGTCTTTCAAGCTGTAGCCCTCTGTGGGGTATGCTATAGGCATCAGGCAGAAGCAGAGTTCAGGCAGGTGGGCAAGGTGCTCCACCAATGCTCCTTGCAGAGGAGCCATGCAGTGAGCAGGCTGGCATGGCTGTCACCTTCTGATCCCCAAACTAGCTGATGGTCGCCCTGGGCCCAGAAGGACCGAGGGGCTTGTTTATGTGTCGTGAGCGATAATGTAAAAGGTCTGGCCTCAGACTTTTGGATAAGATCAGTTTCTAGTAGCTATCAAGCTTGTGAAATAACCCTGTTGGGAGATCTTATCTCATGCTGTGGGAAGGAAGATAAGAGTTAACTGAAGGCAAGCACAGTAAGAAGGCCAATAAAGTGGCCTCCGTTCCTACTCTCTTCTCAGAGGAGGGATGCCAAATCCAGCCTTCTGACCACCCTCTCCCCCAGCAAAGTGCTCTTTCCCTCCCTGCAGGTAGGAGTTTACGAAAGCACCTTTTCCCATTTTTGTAGCCTGGCTGCTGCCTTGAGCCACCGATCAGTAGAGGCCATGGGAGCACTTCCCTCCCTCAGAAGTGCAGCTTTAGCTTTTACTCTTGCAGAAGGTTGCCAGAGCAGCTGCTCGAGGGCCCTCTGATCCTCACCCCAAATTGCAATTCCCCTCTGCTCTGCTGCTAGAGCTGGGGAGAGCCACAGCTCTGCAGGCAGAGGGTGAAGTCATTGTCCTGGTGCAGCTGGGGCTGATTTGCCATAGCTGGGCTCCAAGCACCTTCTGTCAAGATGGTCTGACATGTCTGTCCTGAAAGACCAGAAAGGAATTGGCACCCTGACTGCCTCCCAGCTCCCTTTTGGAGGGGAGGACAGCAGTGAAAGTAAGAAACTGAACAAAATTTCTCACCCTCTGTGGGTTCTTTTGGCAGGGCAAAGGCAAACAACCCCAAGCTGGAGAGGATGCAGACCTACAGCCCCCTCATCGGAATTTCTCCTCCTTGATGAGGGGGAGCTACTTCCTCCTCAAGAACAGCAGGGACCCAGGTGAAGGAGCCTTCCCAAAGCCCACAGCAGAGTGGCACGAAATGGCTGCTGCTCCCCTTCTTCTTTTCTGCTGGAACTGGGAAGGTGGAAAGGGGAGCTGTGAGGAGCATGTGTGTGAAGAGCTACCTCAAATCAGGATCAATATGAGCATCTGCCAGCTACTGCTGGGGGCTTCCCAGCTGGGATTTGGGGCAGAGGAGGTCAGGGACCAGCTGAGCTGGCCCAGGGAATAAGCCAGGCTCTGTCCATGTAGCATGCTGGACAACATGCTACATGTGGCGAGGGATGGACAGACACAAAAACAGCTGATTGAGAAGATGGGCTGGATGACCAGGAAGCAGGATTTCAGTCACGTAACTTTCTCACGCTTGCAGTCCTGGGATGGGGCTTCTTTTTTCCACGCAGAGCTCTCATCTGAACTGGAATTTACCCTTTGGGCAGGGGGCATGCATTGCATGCCTTGCTGGGCCTCCTGCTTCCCCCTCCTTTCGTAATCCCAGGACTAGCTGCCTTGTTATCACCTCCTGTGACATTTCGACAGGCAGCACTGCTGCACTGTTACTTTCTCTTCTAGCTTTCCTTTCCTACAAAACACCCACTCTGGGTGTTTTTTCCTTTTTGAATAACACCTCCACCTATGCACACATCAGCCTAAGGGCAGTGTGCCCACTGAGAGGGAGGAGAGGGGACTTCCAAGGTGCCCATGTGGCTTCAGAGCACAGTTCCTCTTAATCATGCCTTCCGTGGGAAGCCTCGCTCCAGGTCGCTTTGCTATTGTCACCCTTTGCCAGTGCTGTCGGGAACGATCCCTGGCTCCAAAAGGATGGAAGAGGGGTGTGCCTTTTTGCTGTCTCCTGCCATGGGAGGTGCACAGCTGACCCTGACTCCCTGTATTTCCGCGTCTTCACTGGGCATGCGGTGAGCCCCATCCTCCCAGAGCCCCTGGGGACGGCTCTCCCTCCCTTGGCACGTGCATCGCCAGTGTAAGTTGCTGGTTCAATCAAAGGACACACAGAGGGAAGGAGAGGGCAAAGGCTAGGGCAGACTAAGGAGGTGTTCAGTTTTGCCCACCTGGCCCTCAGCAGCACCGACCACAACACAGTGCCCCATGTGCCTTTGTTTTGGGTGATATTGTTAGACAGTTTCTGCCTTCGGCTCTAGCTTTTGAGATGACAGGAAGAGATAACCCCACACTGGAGACGCTATTCGCGTAGCAGTTAGTGCTCATTGGTTGCATTTCCCACCCGCTTTCTCTGCCTACCTAGCAACAGCAGGCAGGCCTTTCAGCTTGCTGCCTGCCCTCCCACACAAACACCCGTTTTGCTTTCCAGCCCTTCTGGGTGGCGTGGGGCAGGTGAACAAGCGCGGTGCAAAAGGCAGTGGGGGCGCGGGTAGAGGTGTGCATGGCACGGGCACTGCTGATAACCGGAGGGGAACGGCTCTGAAACCAGACTGTGTGCAGGTGACCTGACACAAAGCATCACGCCTGTGCTTACCACTCCCTGCCTGAACACTGCTGAAATGGGGACGGGCAGTAAGGCCAGTGCATTAGGACAACCGGTCCTTGAAGTGCCTCAAAATGTCACGCCTGCTGGGACAGTCGGGGACCACTGCTGTTAGCAGCTGGAGTCAGACAAACCCCTCTTCCTCAGCTACAGGTAAGATG